AAAAAAAAAAGTAGTATGGTTAGTTGTTAGTAGGATTTTGAGTATATATTAAACTAATATTTTAAATAAAATAATTAAAAAAATTTTGATGTAAAATTAGGAGAGATGTGATGTGAAGTGATGGTTATTTAAAATTATGTGAGTAGATGAATAACAATTAATGTTAATGTGATGTGTATTAATGATTGATTGATATTATTTAATTTTATTAATATTAAGGGCAGCAGAGTTGAGTTACAGTTGTATTGGATTTTAAATATAGGTTGAGTATGAACTAAGAGAACTTATAAACAAAAAACATAATACATACATACATCACTGATTATAAAATAAATGTATTTGTAGTGTTCGTGTTTATGATAAAAAAACATGCAAATTTAACTTAATCAAACATAAATATTACAAAAAAAAAAACATAACTTTATTTCCCTTTTCATACATTATTATAATAATATATTCCGATTCTCAAATATGTGAGGATAAGTTGAATTGTGACAAAAACGACACTTATTTAAAAAGAATGCAGAGTATATTATTTTAATTTAAAAAAATTTAATAATTTTAGTTATGTTAACTTTTATTATATATTATAAATATTTTAAGTTTTCATTCTAATATGATAATTCACATGTAAGCATATATAATATAAATATTTTTTTTAAGCTAACAGTTTACATTATTGTTCGACATATAACTCTTTAATAAAATTGGAGAAGAATTATCTTTTCATATGTCTGTTACTTAACCATGTACAGGTACAACCAATATATATATAAATACAAAGTGAAATTAGAGTTGGAGATATACATGGCAACCCCATAAAATTGGAAACATAAAATATATGCATGGATATGATCAAATCTCCTCTATCTATAGAATGAATATATCCATATTTCCACACTCCCCCTCAAGTTGGCAAGTGAAGATTCCGAACGCCCAACTTGACAGATAGGTAATGTAATTGATCACTTCCGAGTGGCTTTGTGAGAATATCCGCAATTTGCTCCTTCGTGTCTATCTCACACGGCTCTATTTCTCCAGACTCTACTCTTTCTCGTACAAAATAACAGTCCATCTCCACATGTTTAGTGCGTTCATGGTATACAGGATTCCTGGCAATTTGTCGAGCGGCCTGATTGTCACAATAAAGCCGGGTAGCTCTGCACTGTCTAACTCCCAACTCCATGAGTAGCCATCGAAGCCATATCACTTCACTCACGGCACCTGCCATTGCACGGTACTCAGCTTCTGCCGAAGAACGTGAAACTACTCCTTGTTTCTTGGTTCGCCATGTAATTGGCGCTCCCCCCAGTGTGATCACATAACCACTGCGCGATCGTCGAGTCATCTGGCAGCCTCCCCAATCCGAGTCGCAGTAGGCAACTAGCTCGAAGCTACCATCAGACGGCAAATAAATTCCCTGACCTGCTGTGCCCTTCACATAGCGTATTACACGTAATGCTGCCTCATGATGTGTTTTTCTTGGCCTTGACAAGAACTGGCTCAAGATATTCACGGCATATTGAATGTCTGGTCTAGTTACGGTGAGATAGAGAAGTTTTCCAATCAAACGCCGGTATTGTTGAGCATCGATTTCAGGACTTTCATCCTCAGAATTTAAGTGGGCATGTTGTTCCATAGGAGTCCTGCTGGGTCGACATCCCTCCATCCCAACTTCTTTCAGCATGTCAATGGCATATTTTCTTTGAGTTAGAATCACACCATTGTTGGAGTGAGCGACTTCTATCCCTAAGAAGTACTTCATCTTTCCAAGATCCTTTATGCTGAATTTTTCGTCCAGAACCTTCTTGACACTCTGAATCTTATCAATGTCATTTCCAGTTAGCAAGACATCGTCCACGTAAATTAGAGCTGCTACAAAAATCCCATCTCTCCTGAAAATGAAGAGTGAGTGGTCCGCATGTGATTGTTTGAACCCCACGCTGACAAGTACGGTGGTGAATTTTTTATACCAGTTCCTGGAGGCTTGTCGAAGTCCATATAACGATTTTCGCAATCTACAGACACGCATGTTACCCCTTTTCTCATAGCCTTGGGGAATCCTCATATATACTTCCTCGTCCAACTCACCATGCAGGAATGCGTTATTGACGTCGAGCTGATGCATGATCCAGCCCTTCTTTGTCCCAACACTAAGCAAGCAGCGTAGTGTTACAAGCTTAGCCACAGGTGCATATGTCTCATGGAAATCAACTCCCGGAACTTGCGTGAACCCTCTTGCCACCAACCGCGCTTTGTATCTTTCCACTTCACCCGTCGGCCTGTACTTTATTTTATATACCCACTTGGAATCGATAGGCTTCTTTCCAGAGGGTAATGGAACAATGTCCCACGTTCCATTTGCTTCCAAGGCCTCTATTTCTCTTCTCATGGCTTCTCTCCATTCATGGGTCTTGGCAGCTTGGGCAAAAGATCTCGGTTCTGTCTTTGCATCAAGTGCAGCTAGAAAACAACTGTGAGCCTCAGAAAATTTATCATATTTCACAAAATTAGCTATAGAGTGTACCGTGGAAGAGTCTGTATTGGAAGCGGGCCGTGAGTGGTCTATAGAGGTGGGCAGCTCCACCTGATAGTCGCTGAAGTGAGCCGGCAACTGTCTGTGTCTGCCACTTCGCCGAGGTTCATCATTCGAACTTTCAGCCTCTATGTTAGGACTATCTACGATTTCTTCCACAACACTACCTCCAGTATTTTCTTCCTTATCATTCCATGTCATCTCATCAGACACTTCATGAATTTTTGTCAAACTCGTTTCTTCCCTTTTACCATCATTATCAAGGTAAGGGAAAACATCCTCAACAAATTTTACATCTCTTGATGTATACAATTTTCTGCCCTTTAAATCATATACTTTGTAACCTTTTTATCCATAAGGATACCCGATAAAAACACATGTTCTCCCCCTTTCGCCAAATTTGTCATTTCCTTTGCTTGTGTCTTTAGCATAAACCAAACAGCCAAACACCCTCATGTGATCATATCTAGGCTTCTCTCCCAATAATCTTTCGTAGGGGGTCTGATTCTGCAATATTTTGGATGGAAGCCTATTTATGATGTAGGCTGCGGTCAAAACACACTCACCCCAAAACTTAAGTGGTAAATTGGCCTGAAACCTCAATGCCCTAGCTATTTCAAGAATGTATCGATGTCTCCTCTCAACAACTCCGTTTTGTTGAGGCGTGTGAACGCACGAGGTTTCTAACATGATACCATGATCAGCATAATAACTTAACATTTCATGCGATTGAAATTCCCCTCCATTATCGGCCCTAATGCGTTTTACACCTCTTCCAAACTGTGTTTTAATCATATTAAGAAATAATTTAAGATACTTGCTAACTTCAGATTTAAATCTCAACAGATATATCCAAATCTCTCTACTAAAATCATCGACGATAGTGAGGAAGTAGTGAGCTCCAGTAAAAGAAGGGGTTTTGTAACTACCCCAAATGTCACAATGTATTAAATCAAAACAGTGTTTGGTACGAATAGTACTAAGAGAAAAAGGCAATCTAGTTTGTTTGGCTCTCATGCAAATGCCACAAACTTTATTTTCCACCTCACAGATCCCTTGAAGCTTTACTCGAGAGGCATGCCCCAATCTTCTGTGCCAACTGTCACTATTAATTGTAGCAGCAAAAACCCTTCTAGTATCGCCCACTAGCTCAAGGAGGTATAGACCATCACGCTGCTTACCCGCTCCAATCAGGCTCTTCGAGGCTGAGTCCTGTATAACACAACAATCCGACAAGAAGGTTAGAGTGCATTGGAGATCCTTTGTCAACCTGCTTGCTGATATTAGATTGCATTGGAAACTCGGAACAAAAAGAACATTAATCAATTTCATGCCGTTCGAGATGTTGGTGTTATATACTTAAGCTTTGCTTTAGTGGATATTACACTTGTTAT